TAAAGATAAACTACAACTCCTAGAAGTTCCTGGGGAACTTTCAACCATATTTATCATTTCTGTTTTTGTTGCAATCCCTTCCAGATATTCTTCCCTGCTTCCCTACCTTTAAACACACCACAGAAAGTCACCACCACCACCACCATCATCATCATCATCAATCGTCATCACCTATAGTATCCACAATGTGTTGGGCAGTATTCTGAAACTGTTATGGATATTTACCAATTAATTTTCACAATAACCATATGAGGTTATTATGAAAATTGAACTAGGATTATCCTCATTACAGAAGTTATGTAATCTGCTCAAAGTTATGTAATACTGATTTACAGAGGTTATGTAACCTGCTCAAGGTTATACAGCTAAGGACAGCTGTGTATATATATGTGATGTGTGCACGCACACATACCACATTTTCATGTACTACATCTTGACAAAAGTCTTAAATTTTAAAGGTTTGTACAAGTTTTCCAAGATCTCATTTCTGGAGATGATCTCTTTCCTGCAATTCTTGATGCTAATGTCATTGGACTTGAAAGATCAGAAATGTTTTTCTCCAGTCCTAATGTATTTCCTTCCTTATAGTTTTGTTTCATTTTAAACAAGAAGTTTGAATACTTTATTATTAGAGAAATTTAAGACAATTCACAAGCATATAATATCCATAGAAGGTTAGCTCTGTGAGAGTGGAGACTTCATCTTATTTATGCAAAGTTGGCATTCTATAAATACATGCCATATATATATATAATACCATAAATGTTCTTTTGTACCCATCACTATTCCACTTTTTAAATTTGTTAATTTTAGACGATCACGTTAACATATGTTTTTATGTTGAACTATTTCTCATTTCTAAGATTAACCTTGTTTGGTCTTGACGTGTTAGTTTTTTAATGCCATATTGAATTTTAGTACCTACTGTTATTATTTTTAGAATCTGTGACTGTGATCATAGATTGTTTTAGTTTCCTCCATCCCTTTCTTGTCCTTGCCTAGTTTGACACTGTGTTTTAAAGAAGGAGTAGGAAGCATTCTTATCTTTTTCTGTACTCTTCTATATGTTATTTGAAGATTCAGAGCATTTTCTATTAAAACTGTCTGAATTCAGTACCTTTTTAGTTATAGCCCTTCCTCTTACAAATTTCATAGCTTATGTTTTATTTAGAAAAACATTTTTTTCTACATATCAAATATACTGGTTTAAAGATTTGCAGTGCTGTATGTTTATCCTGTATTTTAAAATCTTCACAATTATAGTTGTCACTTTTCCCATTTTTTTTTTTTTTTTTTTTTTATTTTTTTTGTTTCTTAGACAGAGTCTTGCTCTGTCTCCCAGGCTGGAGTTCAGTGGCCTGATCTTGGCTTACTGCAACCTCTGCCTGTCAGGTTCAAGCGATTCTCCTGCCTCAGTCTCCTGAGTAGCTGGGATTACAGGCACTCGCCATTGCACTTGTCTAATTTTTTTTTGAATTTTTAGTAGAGATGGGATTTTTCCATGTTGCCCAGGTGATCTTGAACTTCTGATCTCAAGTGATCCATCTGCCTTAGTCTTCCAAAATGCTGGGATTACAGACATAAGGCACTGTGCCAGCCTCATTTTACTCATTCTTGATGTTGGTTACATCTTTCCAAACTCCTCACTTAAAAAGTAAAAAATTAGACTTGCCAAAGATTGGTTTGTTTTATTAGGTTTTTCAAAGAAGTTGGTTTTTGTTTAATTGATCAAACTTATTGTTTTTTTGTTTCTCTATTTAATTAATTTCTGCTATTAACTGAATTTATCCTCTCTCTCTCTCTCTCTCTCTCTTTTAATTCTCTTTGATTTTCTCTAGCTTTACTTTATTGGTTGTTTTACTTATTTTTAGTCATTTTTATGTTAAAATAAATATATTTAAAGGTCTAAATTTTCTTGTTGATGCTGTCACCAAATTTTGTTGCTTTGAAATGTAGTATATTTACTATCATTCATTTTTAACTAATTTAAGTATGTTTAGGTTTCTTAGCTTTTTGTAAATTTTTAGGAAAATAGATTTTTCTATTCTTTCTTCCCTCTCATTCTCTCTCTCCAACTGATTTTCTTTCTTCCTTATTTTCTTCCTGCTGCCATTGAACTTAAAACACCATCAATTAGAAGAAACATTATATACTACTGAAAAAGAAAAAAAACGTGGAATTTTAGTTTTATAATTGAATGCTTTTTAGCATTCAGAATTTTTGTTTTATGCTTATTGAAAGAGCTATAGAAGTTTTAATTCTGGCACTTAAAAAAAAATCTTGCCTGAAAATTTCAATAAATGGTTTCCAGGTAATAATTAGGGCTCATCCTTCACTCTTTCTTCTTCGGATGGTCTTTAAATTGTTTGTTGATGACTCACGCCATTGAGTAAACCCTGTAAATTGAGCAAAATAAAATGTTTGTTCAGACACAGGCAATAACAACTGTATTTTATTCATTGTTTGGGTAATCTTAATCAATGCTGCTGTTCCAGTATCAAAGATGAAAAGAGCTGTATGTCTCAGAGTTGATGAAATACAGTATATTCTGATGTTAATTTTATTCAGTTGTGAGAAAGATGTAATATGGTATCAGCTTTTTGGAAATTTTTGAGATTTTTTTCGTCTCATACATTGTCAGTTTTTGTGAGTAGGCCATTTATGTTTAAAAAGCATGTGTAGCATGAATTTATTAGGCAAGCTATTTAATTGTGTTATATCCTTTATAGCTTTACTTTTTTGGCCAATTCCATTTGTTAATTTTTGAAAGGAGTAAGCAAAACCCTTCAAGATTTTGTGAAATTTTCTGTTTCATCTTTGATTTTTGTCAAGTTTTGCTTTTAATAATGTATCCTGTTGTTAGGTGTGCAAATGTTGAATACATGTTTCTTGAATTCTATTAAGCATGATTTTACATTGATATGGCTAATTCCTTTTTATTGATATTTACAGTATAAATAACAAAATATCAAAAGTGTAAGCTTTTTTTAATTTTCAGACTTTCTGGATTTTTGTGTGTTTATTGTTTTTAGTTTATAATTGGGGAAGCAGCATGAATTTAATTTTCTTTGTTTTAAAAACAGATTTTACATTTTTAATAAGCATTTTAACACATCATGGATATGTGATTATTGATATGGTTGGATGTACTTTTCTTTTATCATTTTGTTTTTTGTGGGTGAAGCATTGAACAAATTAAATATAATTCTTCCCCTCCCAGATCTTACAGTAAAATGAGCAGTATTTTAAAAGTATACCTTATTTTTATATATCATGTTATAAGTAAAAAGTACTTATCACATACTGGCTTCAGAAACAAAAGTTCTCACGTTCTTTATTTGTCCTTCTCTGACGATGGTGGTATCCTTATTCAAGGGTGGGGAAGTTAACAATATGAAGTTACAAAATGGCAGTTTGGGGTCCAGATTCATTCCTCATTTCATTAAATGCATGAAATAAAACTTTTATGTAGTTACCTAGGAAAAACTCCATTGAAACTATTTTAATCATATTTTAGGCTTGTTTTTAATGTGCTATCCTATATGCAAAACTATTCCCATCTGTATTTAGTTCCTTTTCCTCTGTGTGTGACATTTTGCCTGGACCAGATAGATAATAATTTCCAAATTAATCATAGTTTCTACCCTCATGGAGCTTGACTTTGATTTAGAAGCTAAACACCTTGAGTGTTGCCCAAGGTAAAGGCAATTTTGTCTCAGAATATACCTAAGAGCATTTCCTCTGCCCCATTTTCTTTGCCTTGCCCTTCAATTGGCTAACTTCTTTCATTCTCTACTCATGTCTTATGTAGAAGTAACTTCTTCCAGAGACCTTTCTGAAATCTCTAGACCTCATTAGGTTTACCCCGCTGTGCTCTTGAACATTGTCCAGTACTATTCTTAAAATAATAGCCTACCTTACGGTGATCACTGGCATGTCTGTTTTTTCTCCATTTGCATCTGTTTCATGTACTCCTGTGCCCTTAGCAACTGGTGTACTGCCTGGAAAGTATATGATGAATGGTGAAGGCTAATTTCTCTTTTGTATCCTCAGCATTATCACCTGGCATGCAATAAAAACTTAATAACGGAATGTGAACTGTTGTTATAAATGACTGCAGCAAGATTCTTGAATGTATTATAAAACTTGTACTGTCTCAATAATTCAAGCCTGATATTGGGACACAAATGCTCATGTTCATTGGCTTTTACAGAATGATTAAATGTTTCAGTGCTATAAATCTTATAGTACACTCTAATAAAAGAAGAAAAATATGAATACTAACTACATGCTTTTAAAAAATTCTATCTAGTTTATAATATAAACAGTAAAAGCATTATGAAGAAAATATACACTTGTGGACAAATTGAGCTTGGCATATTTAAAAGAATAACAGCATGAGATGTTGAATATTCTTTTAAACTTATATCTAAATATAGTTCTCTTAATTTTTAATTTTAAAGATGTTCCTGTTAATTTTGAAGCTTATTTACTCAAATATATTCAGGAGTTCTAGAAACCTAAAAATTAGTTTTTGTGAATATGGATATGGAAAATAAGTCCAGTGATTAATTTTACTAGCAGAATATATTTGTAGTGTTTTCATCTCATATAAAATAAATATTTATTTGCATTTGCACTTGGAAAATGTGGGATAGTTGAAATTATAGTTGTATTGGTTAATTGTGTGTGGTTTTCTAAGTTAAGGTATAAGGATATAGTTGCAGAAGAGGAAATGAGACATTTAACAAATTATGGACATGTTTCTTTTTGATACACAGACATGTTTAACATAAAACAGCCGCGAGGGAAAAATAATGATTCAATTATGGTTAAAATTAGGGGGTGGGGAGGCATGCCACTACATACACTGAAAAATGCACCCACTTGTCTTTTATTTGCTCTATTCAGAAGGTAATGGTGACTTTGAAGTAGGAAAATATTGATTTATCATGTTATAGCCAGAGGGTTATTAATAAATTTTTCCTTTTCTCTTCTAGCATACTGATTTATGTCAGTACATGGACAAGCACCCTGGGGGGCTGCATCCAGATAATGTGAAGGTAGGAAAAGATCTTTTTAACCCATGAGTTAGCATTCTTGATATGTATTTTTTTGGACCAAAAAATATGTATTCTTGATATGTATTTTTCGCATCTCTACCATAAGATATTTCAATTTTTAAAACTCTTTGTGTAAAGAGACCGATATTGAGGTGAACCATAGTCATTGCTTCAGTTGAATTATTGGAAACTATGTTTTAACATTAAATATTTTCACTGGGGTATTAATATTTAGATCTTACATTTTTTTCCTAGAGAAACATTTGCTAATAGTGAGTAAAAAACCACTGGAATCCTATTTTTTTGAGATGGAATCTCCCTTTGTCACCCAGGCTGGAGTGCAGTGGCACAATCTCGGCTCACTGTAACCTCTGTATCCTGGATTCAAGTGATTCTCCTGCCTCAGTTTCCCAAGTAGCTGGGACTACAGGTGCGTGCCACCACATCCAGCTAATTTTTTGTATTTTTAATAGAGGCAGGGTTTCACCATGTTAGCCAGGATGGTCTCCATCTCCTGACCTAGTGATCTGCCTGCCTTGGCCTCCCAAAGTACTGGGATTGTGAGCCATTGCGCCTGGCCTGGAATCCTATTTTTTAATACTTCACAGTAGAGTCGAGTTTCAGTTCTAGCTTGGAACCCATACTGATATACCAGGTGGTTTCAATATAAAGGATCATTATGATCCAAAACAATGTTATGGTGGGCCACAGTGCATGTGTTTTTATTTGTAAGTATAAGCAGATTCTACTTCCTGCTACTTTTGCATCTTTTTTTTACTAGAAATTTTATTACTGACTATGAAAAGAACCACAATTTCCTAAGATTTGACCTCATTATCTTCTTAGTAAATTGTTCCAAAATTTCAAGCTTAAAACAGGGAACTCTTTCTTGGTATATGCAATGGAATTAGAAGAGACCAAAGTTATGTCTGATATGGCTTAATTATGTGCTTACATTGTATAATTCAAATGACATTTCATAATCCTGAGAACCAATTAAGTATTACAGATGTATTCGAAGTAAAATTATTCATCTTCATTTCTTCCCATTTGTTATCTACACCACTCTTTGCACCATGTCATACTTTTTCTCTTGTGCGTTTTTCTTTGCTTGTAGAGACATATGTACATATGGCATTTTGTGTGTTTATTTTATTTTTTTATTAAGATAATATGTATGGCGGGATGCAGTGGTTCACGCCTATAATCCCAGCACTTTGGGAGGCCAAGATAGGAGGATTTCTTGAGGCCAGGAGTTTGAGACTTCCCTGGCAACATAGCAAGAACCCCATCTTTACAAAAAATTTTTTTAAATTAGCTGGGTGTTATCATATGTGTCTGTAGTCTTAGCTACCTGGGAAACTGAGGCAAGAGGTTTGCTTGAGCCCAGGAGTTTGAGGTTGCTGTGAACTATGATCATGCCACTGGACTCTAGCCTGAGTGACAGCCTGTCTCTAAAAATGAAAATAAAAAGTAAATGAATAAATAGTGAATACATAATTATATAATTTGTTTTCACTTAAAATACGTATTGGATATTATTTAAAATCAGTACGTGACTATGTAGCTCTTCCTTAGTAACTATATATTTTTCCATAATATGAATAACCTGTATTTATTAATATAGTTAACCGTATTTATTAATAAATGTATTATTTGTATATGTATATGTTACTGTAATAAATATAACTTAATTATATATCATCTTACTATTACTATTAATAAACATAACTATGTATTAATATAGTTAACTATTATTAACTATATATGAGTCAACTATAAATATTTAACTGTTCCTTATTCACAGATCTTTGGGTTGTTCCCAGAATGTTGCTATAATTATTTTAGAGTCAATATTAGTATAAAACATATATACTATCGTTTCTCTTGGATACTCCATTAATGAATTTTGTTTAGTAAGAAATACAATTTATTAAGAATACAATTTCTGTAGTAATGAATTTGGCATGAACATTTGCCAATGAGTTTATAAATGACAGGAGAACTGTTTTCCTCTGTTCTAACTAGCATTGACTAATCAATCATTTTAACTTTTGCCATTCCAAAGGGTAAAAATGGAATGTCCTTTACATTGGCATTTGCTTGACTGCTAGTGACATTGAGCATTTTTTCACGTATTTCATGACCATTTGTAAATTTGCTTGTATAAGTTGCTTCTTTGTGTGTATTTTCTATTTTTCTATTGTCTTTTAATATTTTTCTTAAAATGTTTTCTAGATATTTGTCACATTAACAATGAGGCTTTTATGGTGATTAGCTACACTATATAATTTTAAAATATAGGCACTTATAGGAACTCTGTCAAAACATTGTTTGTTAAATAATAGAATCAATATAGAAATTATAGTCTGTTGAATTTTCCATATGTCTCCTTTTTTGTGTTTTATTAGATTTCCTTAACCTTAAAGTGTTTTGACTGTTCATTTTTCTTAAAAATCTGTAACCATTGACATAGTTTATTAGATTAGGTTGACATGTTAACAGATGAAAATATTTGTTTTATTAATCTTGTCCATGTTCAATTCCAACTCCAAATATTAATATTAACATGAACATAATTTTATATTTTTTTGCACTAAAAATCTCGAAGTCTCTCATTTATACATTCACATGGTCTCTTCTTAGGGTTTATTGGCTTTGAAATCAGTGGTACAATATATTTTCATTCTTGTTTTGTATTCTATCCTTAAGAATGTATAGATCACCCAGCTAGTGAGACTGTTGGCCCTGGGGAGTTCAGAAGTCTGCCAGCCACAGTGGAAATGGGAAGGTCCTCTGAGCTAACTTTGACTTCCTGACTTTCACATTCAGTGATAAGATTGAGATTAAAGAACTGATTGAACCTTTCCAACAGCCATGACATTACTGGGCTTTTATCATCCCTGTTTAGTTTTCTCACCAATTATCTGTGTGTCATTAATTATCAGCAAGTGTTGGTAGAAAATTTTGTTGATGAAAAAAAGGAAACCTCTTTCCACAAAACATTACTGTGTTCTCTCTCCTTAGGCCAGTGACATTGATTAATTTTGTCCCATTTTTACTGTATATTCTGCTTCTTCCATCACTTTTATTTTCCCTAATTTCCTAATGGTCATGAAGAGATGGGTCTCTAGGTTACTGTTTCTCAGTGACTGGCCGTAGCTCTAGAAATTCTCTCACCAGCTCTCATTCAAGCCTTGTGTGCTTTTCTTTCATCATATGGTCATTCATCATACTTCAAACACTTACTGTTTGCTCCTCATTTAAGTCCAGGTTGCACTGTGGCGATAAACAAGGTTTAACACGGCAGGACTTGGTGCCTCCTAGAACATGGTGAGAAACTTAATGATGATTAAAATATGTAGTCAGCAGAGAAATAATGTCACAGGAATTATATATAACATCTACAACAAGCCTGGGTATTTATATACAACAGAAATTTTTCCTGCTCTGAAGTTGTTTAACATGGTCACAGATAGATGCCTTAGTACATTTCTGTTTCTAAAAAAAAAATGTGATGTAATTTACCTCTTCTTATTTTAAAAAATACCCTAAAAGCAGCAAAATGTATTAATCTGTGGGGATTCCTTTCCCCATAGTTAGTGAAATTTTGACTTCTTGAGGATTTTCTGAAATGCTCTGGAGAGTCTCAGTTCTTGGCATATTTGTAGATACAGGAAACCTCAGTAATAAACAAAGAGGTCTTCACTATTCCATAGTAGAGTCACCTGGGAAGCTTTATATGTACACACACAGATATATATATATATATATATATATATATATTTTTTTTTTTTTTTCACCTCCCAGAATCAAGTTTAAAAATCTGCATAGTGTAATACTGGAAATTTTAGCCAGTGTAATCAGCCAAGAGAAAAAAATGAAAAATCCAAATTGGACAAAAGGAAGTTGTCAAATCATCTTTCCTTGCAGACAAAGTAATATGTATAAAAAAATCTAAAGACTCCATCAAAAAAAAGTCACAGAACTGATAAACTAATTCAGTAAAGTTGCAGGATACAAAATCAACATATAAAAATTAGTAGTGTTTCTTCCCCAATAATGAATTAGCTGAAAAAGAAATGGAGCAATTTAATTTATAATAGTTACCATAAATATGTAGGAATCAGTTTAACCAAGGAAGGTGAAAGACCTGTATAAGAAAACTACAAAACAGTAATCAAAGAAATTGAAGATACAAATGGAAAGGCATCCTATGATCATGGATCGGAAAAATTAATATTAATAAAATACCATACTACCAAAAGCAATCTAGAGATTCAATACAATTCCTATCAAAATACCAATGACATTCTTCATGGGAGTAATAAACAATCCTAAAATTTATATGGAACCACAAAAGAACCCAAATAGCCAAAACAATACTGAGCAAAAAGAACAAAGCTGGAGACATCACACTATGTAACTTCAAAGTATACTACAAATCTATAGTAACCAAACAACATGTTATGGGCATATAAAAGAGACACACAGATGAAGGGAACAGAAAAATGCTCAGAATAGAGAATCCCCAAATTAATCTGCATACCTATAGCTAACTGATATTTGATAAAGATGTCAAGAACATATTTTGGGGGAATGACACTCTCTTCAATAAATGGTGCTGGAAAAACTGGAAATCCATGTGCAGAAGAATGAAATAAGGTCCTTATTTTTCACCATATACTAAAATCAACTCTAGATGGCTTAAAGGCTTAAACATAAGACCCAAAACTATTAAACTCACAAAGAAAACATAGGAGAAACACTTCAAGACTTTGGTCTAGAAAAGGATTCTATGGCTAAGATCTCAAAAGCATAGGCAACAAAAATAAAAATAGATAAATGGAACTCTATTAAACGAATAGGCTTCTGCAAAGCAAAGGCAACAGGAGCAAAGATACAACCTGTTGAATGGGAAAACATATTTGCAAACTCTTCCATCTATCAAGAGACTAATATTTAGATTATGCAAGTAATTCAAACAACTCAAAAGCAAA